GCAGCTTTCCAGAGTCTTCTCTCCATCTGAAGCTAAGGCCAGAACTGCATGAGTCATTAGTTGCTTTGAGTGTGATTAGTCACAACACAGACACATCAAACACAAAGGGTGTCTGTGTGTTTGTGTGAGATCCAGGAAGTGAATACCTGATTCAGCTCAGCTCACTTTCCGTCTAGAGCGTCCTGTTTTTAATTTTTTGAGCCATTAATGTTCATGAACTCTGGTTTAATGTGTCTTTGATGGCACCAAATCACAACTGCAACATACTACCAATGTATTTTTCTTTACAATTCATTAATGAAAATTGCTTATAAGCACATGGGAGTTCAAAATTCAGCCACCAATCTATTCAGGGTGGCTGCAGCTTTATTTTTTTTAACAGCAAATTAAGAAGAATTATAGCGCTTCCAACGCAGCTTTCCTGAGGAGCTTTCATCACGGCAGTGTAGTGTTGTCACGACGGTGATAAAATGACCTTCCTTTCATTCCTCTTCCTTCATCTTTTTCCTCTCCGAGCTCCCCACTTTGTCTGTCACTCATCTGGAGCTGTTATTCTGCTGTTCACTCCGTCAGCTCTCTGGAGGTAATAGTTTTGTGAGACATGATTAAAGAAAAGGGGAATGAGAGGAATCACCTTCTCCTGTCAGGGCCCAGTAGGGGAAAATAAGACTGACAGTTTGACTCTTTACTGTAAAACTGGCTCTGTTTCCATCCTGAAGTCTAATACTACAGATTTATATGAAGTCATCAGCCTCTCCTCTTACACTACGTTATATTTTTAGACTATAATTCTGCTGCTTCTTGTCATCATTCCGTTGCCGAGGAAAGGTTTTGGAACTTCCTGTAAAAGTACAAAAGAAACTTGGATTTTTCCTCAGTCAGACATTCATTTCCCTGAGGGGCAAAAAGAGCTCGAGCTCTCTTCTGTTGGGTGGAGAACAATATTCTATCAAATGCCAAGCAGAGAGAAAAAAACATGATTTTCTTTTTTTTTGTACTATAAAAAGAAGAACTATTGCATAGAAACAAAATCTCAAGAATTTTAGCCTTTCCAAAATCATAAACACAAGAGCAAAATAGTAAGGAATGGATTGAACAGTCTGCTCTAACATAAGCTGGCACTAGCATTAGCATGCACGGCCTACTATTTACTCTACCTACTCTACAACTTATAGTAGCAGAGTAGTAGAGTGAGGATGGCGACTCTTTGCCAGGAACATGCAGCTTTATTATGATAAATGATGCAATCTTGTTTAAAAGTCAGCTGGAAACATTAGAAAGTCAGCTGGAGACCGAGTTTCACACATCTAAGTGTTAATTAGCTAGCTAGCTATAAAGGTAACTGATGGTGATTTCAAGTTGAATTGACAGTTACCTGTTAAAGTCTTCTTCTGTCTGAAATCCAGGACACATTATTTCAAAAATTGCGCAAATTTATCATTGTAAACTGCATTATGTGGGTCAGTTCACAAACTATCATGAATTAAGCTTATTTGCTGTCTAACAGATATGCCAACTGCTAGTGTGTCTTTTAGTACATATATGTTTGTGTGTATTTCCTTGTGCTTATGAATGCAGAAGGTGAGATGCAGTGTCCTACCTTGTGCATTGGCTGGAGATTGATGTGGGGTTTAATAGGAGCTACCATTATAGCAGTGTGTGTGTATGTGTGTGTGTGTGTGTGTGTTTGTGTGTCATGAATCAACATGGGACCCAACCTGGCCTGATTAAGTAAACCTTTGCAGTCTGTGAACACACACTCACACTTCAATGTAGCCTGATCGAGGTATTGTAAGCATAAAGCTGTCGTGCTGTGCTCACAAACTTGATTTATCCTGTAACCACAACAGCCGCTGACAAGATGTGTTCCACACTTTTCATGTTTTTTCTTCAAGCAATTTTCCCACCGACTGCAGAACCGATGGAGATTTGGGTCGAGGGGCCCGTCTTGCCTGCGTCATGATGATCATGAGGCCAGTTGGTCTCTTGCTTCAACAGATTGACAGCTTAGTGCTGAGCCGTAATGTAGGTCTGCCAGCCTCGTCTGTTAGCTCTCTTTGGATGTCTGTCACTCCGCTCGCTGGCTCTTACAATGACCTAAGAATGCGTCCTATTCAGACAACATCGTGAAAATGTGTCGGATGGACATCCTCATTGAAGTCCACTGAAGCATTTTAGAGACTTCTGGCTCTTTTCTCTTCAAGACACAACTGTGCCTGTGAAAGTGAAGAGGGGCGATTTAGAGGGAGGCGTTCACAACATCTGATGTCTCATCCTTAACAAAAGGTGGAACTGGTTAGTATGCAGCTGGTGTGATTGGATGACCAGTACGCTGTATGTTGTAAATCCCCTCTGGTAAAACTTTGAAAGGCGGCTGTCTATAGGCACACAGTGTTATACGTTGTATAGCATCCATAGAGATGTCCATAGGCTGCACTCTGTATTCTGCTGCTGTGGATAGTGGCTGTTGGGCCCCTGCCAGTCCCAGGCCCTCCAATACAACACTCTCTAATGCTCTCTGCTTACAAGACTGGGCAAACTGCTCAGTGTCATGACCCTCTCCAAGCCTTAAGAAATCTCTTGTCACCCACCCAGCTAGCTCAACCGATGCCTTCAACATGCATGGAGTCCAACGGTTCGACCCCAATCTGTCACAGCCCATCACAAGGTCCTAACCCACCTTTAGAGATGGGATGCCTCAAAGTGTGTGGCACCGCGGGGAATCACCCGCACAAGAATCCTCTTTGTCAAGAGTCCAGAGATCAACTTGGTTGCCTACCATTAAATATCGCTCAACAAATTGTTTAATGACAGTTTAGTTTGGCAGGTGTCATAGGGTGCTTTACTATCTGAGAGGAATGTTTTTCTTTGCCTCACACGCTCCAGTTATGGTTGAAGGTTTTACTGAGGTTTCACATGGTCAGAGAAGAGAGCGACCATTATTCCTGTAATTTATAAAGGGTTGAACTTGTGTTGCATAATCTTCTTTCTGAGCATCAGGGATGCTGTTGGCATGAGTTACTGTTACCTTGGTGTATGCAAAGAGGTCTTTTGCTTTCCTGGATTCATTATTTACTTTATGTAACTGAAGTCTAGACAGTCAAAACATGCCAGGCTAATTTCTGCTCAAACCAAACTCTTCAAATGGTCTACTAGCAGGCTTCTCTTGGTAATGTCTATGCGGTATAAAGAACCAATTTTTTTGCCCCAAGTAAACTAATAATTTTATAGTTATTTTTGTGCGTTAACAGCATTATAAAACAAAGTTGTGTTTTCTTCAAACAGCATATTTTCCTCTTCATCTCCATTTCATACCAGTACGGGGCAATAACGCTCTGTTTCAGGCATCTCTCCATTGAGCTGAGAAGCTTCGGGCCCCGAGCCAAATCCCCTGGCAAAGTCAGCAGCTCATTTCTGATGTGTGGTAGGATTTCCTCTATGTTGTGCAGTAGGAATGCACCAGAATCACTTCTTCACTGCAGTAGACTAAAAGTTTATCCATTCTTCTGTAAAGTAATTTGGTTAAGTCAAGCTTTCTTTATTAGATTTATCACTTTGTGTGTGGTATAAGATCAAATTAGTCTTAATAGTGTCTGATGGCCTGTTTTACTAGGTTTAATTCCAGTGCTGGATAACAGTATTGGTATTAGTCATACAGGCAGCTGTAGTTCAGGTGGTTGAGTGGGTTTTGAATGAATACTGTAGGCATCTGCTAAATGGAAAGCATTGAATACAAGCTCCAGTGAACTGTGGTTTGGGCCTTCAAGTGCCCTTACAGAGGCAATATTGTTTATTTATTATTACATTATAACACCAATAAATACAGATGGATATGATACATTATCTGTCCTTGTCTGTGATGCTGTGTGCATGCAACTAAATCACCTCATTTGCCTGAGATTGGGTGCTCAAGGGTTCAGCATTTAAGGCTATCTTGGGGCATTTGGTGTATTTTGTTATTGCAACATCAATATATGATAGAAAAACAAACTAAAATATGAGTAATTTGCCTATTCAAAAACCTTGTGAAGGTCAGCGTTAGTTTTTAAGCCGGTAAGATTTTATGCTGCTGCTTTAACACCTGTGGTTGCTTCACAGATGCCAGTTATCTCAGCTTGTAAAAGTTGCTTTCATTGTAGACAGCTCTTAAGGATGAGTGACATGTATTGGGGTGTGTGTGAAAGGGTGGCATTAAAATTTCATTTCACTTCCATCAGGTGTAAACTCTATTTCTCAAATTTATTTTAGCTTTTAGTAACTAAGAAACACACCTTTGTTTTTATGACATTTGCTGTCTATTCATAAGTATGTTTTCATTAGTGTATAAACACCACGGGTTGCCTTCCATAGAGTCCACCATGTTGAACTGCCATGTTTCAGTAGCACACAATAGACAAACCAAACACTTGCTTTAGATAAAGCCTTTCATGCTTTTTGTGAGTTTCGTGGCCACTGTAGTTTCTCCTACACACTTCACAGCCCATTCTCATTTCCAGGTCGTCAAATACAGGCACGAGCAGTGTTCAGTTAGTTGCATTCTGCAACTTCACCTCTAGATGCTGTTACATCATACCTACCCAACCTTTAAGGTTAAAAGTAGCTTTTTATGGTTTTTAATGATATAAAACTTTAAACAGATGATTTTTCTCATGATTTTTTCTTCATGTTTGTGCACAAACACATTTTACTTTGTCTTCAAGGGCAAAGGCAATAAAGGGCATTATTGTATGATTAAGAAATGCTTTATAATAATATTTGTCAAATAGCTGCAAATAAACTAAAGGTTAAATACGTATTTACAGTACATGAAAAATGCTAAATGTCTTGGACACTATAAAAACATGTACAAATGTATTATATACAAACATACAGCATACAGTTATGTTTTTTTGTTCTGGTATATAAAGCTTTACCTTGAATTTCCGCCTCTACTTACTACTGATTGCGTTTTCCTTCCTGACCCAGTCTCTCTGCTCTCCTTTCTGTTCCTCTCTCTGCAGGTCCAGGATGGTGCTCACTCCATGTGCAGCTGGGCGGCAGATCCATTCTGCTCTGATGCTGCTGCTCTATTTAGGCTTGGGTAAGTTCTTTGTCTCCCACCTCCACTCTTTGTTTCCTTAAATTGCTGCATCTCCAGATTGTGCAGAAATTAACCAGCACTTTCTGATCCAGTCAATATAACAGATAATATCAGTGCACAAGTGGGTTCAGTAAAAGTAAAGAGGGAGGGAAGGAAGAGAGGAGGAGCAGCTGTATCAGAATAACAGAAAAAAAAATCAGTTCCCACATTAATTTTTCCATAGACATAAATATACAAGACAGGTTTGTACTAATTTGAGTGTTGTAAGTGAGAGCTGACATGCTGAGGATGTTTGCAGACATGCTCAGTGGGACTGAGCTGGAACACCTCCAAACCCATTTATGCAAGTTTAGTCGACCATCTGTTCCATTACAACTATGCATAAAATTCAAAATTATGGAACAAAAAGACAAAACATCTCAGAGCCGCAGGTCTCTGGTGGATAGTATCGCAGGTTTGAGGTCCCACATACAGCCTGCTGACTGCCTGTAGAAAAGATAAGTTCCTTGCCTTAATTACTTTTCCAGCAATTGGCATGCATGATGGTAACTGGTCAGCCTGGATTTTCATTAAAATGAGAAACTGCATTGCCCATTTCCAAAATTAAAACACACTCTGACAGCAAAAAGTTATTACTTCACATTCTGTATTCTGTATTTGTGTTTTGTAGCACAATCCAGGATCCAAAAGTAAACAAAAGGATCTGCAGAATACTAAAATTACTGAAACAACAGGATTATAACATGAAACTACTGCCAGCAACCAGGTGCTAGCTTAGCATAGCATAAAGGCAAAAAAGAAACAAAATCTGCCCACCAGCACATATAAAGCACACTAAAGTACAACAGCACTAACTTCCTGAAGTCTCCAGACTCTAAGAAGTAACCGCTCCCAGCCAAGAAATAGTCCCATCAATATTCTCTTGCAACTAATTTTTACATTTCAGTTTTGTTTGGATTAAACAAATGAGATATAGCGTATTATTTAATGAGCTTTACAGGTGCTGATAGGTAGATTTTGTTTCCTTTTGGACAGAGTCCTGCTAGCGGGTTCCCCCTGTTTCCAGTCTTTGTGCTAAGCTAAGCTTACCTGCTGCTGGCTGCAGCTACATATCTAAATATATGAGAGTGTTGTTGATCTTCTCAGTGACTCACTTCTAAATGTGTTTCCTAAAACGTCAACTTTAACTTTAAAATGTAGACTTAGAAAGATCTAACCGCTGAAATGGTATGAGTGTTTGCCCTGTGACTGGAAACAGCGTTCTCTACCTCTAACCTAAAGCATGCTGGGATGGAATCAAGCCCCATGTGACCCTGAAAAGGATAAGTGAAAGAAATGACTGCAAGATAAATATATGAATATTTTAGATATAGTTTGACAAAAAAAAACAACAACAACTAAAGATTTACTTACTAACTTTTTTTTATTGCAGATTGTGTGGAACAATATTGATTATTTCTTTGGTTTTTAACAACATAATAACTTAAACTGTAAAGTAAAGTAAACTGCAAAGGAAGACTCGCTTTAAAGCTCCAGAAGTGTGAACATTCATGGTCAGCATTTTAAATATATGCCCATATCTGTTAGCACATCATTATTGTGTGTATGTGGGAAACAATAACACAAAATGAAAATATATATTTGGAATAAAATCATCAAATTCAATTAGCCAGCACAATTAGCAGATTCCCTTTAAGAAACATAGATTGCAGTTAATGTGTGATCCAAACAGTTTATTCTGGAGGACTGACAGAAATAAGAGATGGCATCTGTTAATGATATAAAGTGTCCTTTCATGTCACTTCAGCTCTCTCTTCCTCTTTTTAGGCTGTTTTTCTTTTGTCCCATCTGTCATTACCATGCTACAGGCTACACTTGTCACCCAAAGCACTCAGTTTCCTATTTTCAGTTTCTAAGACTCCCCCCTTTTCTCCCTCTTTCTCTATGATTTTCCTCCATTCCTCTCTCATTGCTGCTCTCTGTCTTGTTTGCTTTTCCCTTGTATTTGTGATTCTGTGATTACATCTGATTTGGGGGGGAAGCAGCGGGCGCGTGCAACAGCACATAGAGATTCTCTCAGGGGGTTCAGCTTGTAAAAGCCGTCCAATCTAAATGCAGATGGAAATATCTTTCGGTGATTCGATTCCACCATGTGCAATATTCCAAATAAGGCTTTGTTTTTTTTTTACACAGGTTCTCTTGTTACGCTCGTTTAAGTTTTCTACACACTGGTGCATTTGATAAACAGTGAAAATTTGAATGGGGAGGACAAGAAAAGTAAACAAATGGAAAAATCCCTGAGCAGATTTGTCTTAAGCTTATTAAAGCTTTGTAATTATGTCTCGTCTTTGTTATGCTGATAGAGACTGTCACACCTTACAGTCTGTGTTAGTCCTTGATTGCGTGAGCAGAAACCGCTACTTACTATGGATTATTAAGGAGTATTATTTTTTTAATTGTTTTTCAACAAATGATTTTAAATGAAAATTAATAACAACAACAAGAACAAAACTTAACTCTAGGTCCTTTTACTAGCTGTTTTTGGAGATTTCAGCTACATTTGGAGTATGTTTAGTTGTTATTAAGTTCTATGCAAATACATTTAATTTTAAGGAAATAAACTTTTAAATGTAAAAAAAATGTATTTTATGTTTAATGAAAACAAAATGTCAACCTTCTATCTAGAATAAAATCTAAATAATCTTGCTTGGTGTGTTAAAGTAAGGTATAGAAAGGATAAAACCACAAAGAGGCAAGAATTGGTTGGTTAGAGGATAATGTCTGTACAGGTGATCCTGTTGTCATGGTTACATTGAACCTGTATGTCATGGCAACCAGACAGAGTGAATTGCTCACATCAATCTGCAAAACCATGAATGTAACTCAGTGACATTGCCTTTACATCGGTGCTTCTATTGCATTAAATAACTTTGAACTGATTGATGTTTGAGTGACAGTTTGAGTAATTTAGATGAACAGAGAGAGAAAACATAGGTTAGGAATAAAAGGGACGCGTAGAAATTTAAATAATTAAGTTTGAGCTTTTGAGCCACTGTGGTCACTGGTGGGACTGTTTTCTACCCATGTCTGTGTATATCAATGTGCGTGAGTGCCTGGGATCCTTATAATGTGTTCCTCTGCTGGAATGATAAAACAAGCTCCACGTTCTTGTGTGGAAATATGAGTGTGAAATTGCTAATGAATCCCTGAGGTCTTGTTAGCACACACTTTGATTAGAAGCTAGAGCAGCCTACACTTTATAGATATCTCCTCTACTGCCTCGTGTAGAATACTGTACAGCATTTACCCTATAATCAAACAGCAAACTTATTCGTGTCTCTCGGAGTATTTATCTGCTGAACCCTTGTTTTCTTCCCTTGTAAGCAAAATATCCTCCAACATATTTAATTGCGTAATCTAATTATTTTCTGTTCTCTTGTTCGTCCTCTCTAGGTGCAGCCTCCTCCATAGTGAACATGCGTAGGATCACCCATCCTACAGTACAACAAACGCTGGCAGGCAAAGCTGTCCTCCCCTGTGTCTTCACCCTCCAGACCAGCTCCTCCAGCCAGCCTCCCCACCTCCTGTGGACTCGTATCAGGCTACCAGCAGGAGGACAGGGCCCTCCTCTGGAGGAGATTGTGCTTTCTGCTAAAGGTAAAACAAAGACAAGATGATCTGGTTTAGATGTTGATTTAGATGACATGACATGACTCTACTTTATTCAATCAGAGAACATGTCTACAAGTGCTTAGAGAGTATACTTAACATTGTACTAATCAATAGTTTTATATTAACAAGGCATCAAATGACAATGTGTATAAAAGAAGTCATTCACAGTTCAGTATTGAATGAATTTAATGAAGGCCTCACATTATAAAACAGTTACAAAGGTAATAAGCGGGCCCTTTGCTGCATGTCTACCCCTCTCTCTCTGCCTTTCCACCCTCTCTCATCTGCAGCTGACCTACCCATTAAAGAACGTAACAAGCTGACTGAAGCAGCTCCTGGAATTAAAATGAGATAAACCTAAGTTTCCCTTTGTTTCACTGTGGTTGTAAATGCTCCAAACAGCAAAGTCAAGGCTAGGTGCAGATTGAATTCATCTATCTAGGACCTCTTTAAACTTTTGTTGTGTATTGGTTCAGTCTCACTACTCTCAGTATCCTCATTTTCAGAAGCAGCAGACAGCTGTTTAAGCTTTAAAAAACAACTTTACACTAACACCACCTGCTCAGCATCAAACTGCAAAGATACAGCACAGTCGAGGACATATGCAGTTAGAATTTATTTAAGCAACAATCAAATCCTCCTATATGTTGAACATTGGACCTTTAACTCTCAAACTAAGCTAATTTGCTTTGTCTGGACTTTGTGTGTGTGGTTTGATCACATTTGATCAATAACAGCCTGGAGACAGGAGCAAACCACCCACAACAGTCAGATTTTGATTCAAGTGTCGCTAAAACCTGATTGGTCCACAGAAGTCTGTGACAATCCAAATGAACTTCAACCAGTCAGAAAAGCAAAGGCAAAATCACAGAAACAAAAATCTTTTCATGGGGAACTTTTGCAGACACTTATGTGTTCACGTAGGATTCATTTACTAAAAGTAAGAGGTTGACTGAGAAAATGCATTTCCTGGGCCTTTAACACAATCTATATAAAATCTGCAGGATACCAATAGACACTTTTAATGAAGAAACCTCTCTTTCTGTGCCAAAGGTGATGTAATCAAGGTGAATAAGGCTTTCAGTAGCCGCGTCATGCTGCCAGGATACGCTGCCAGTCCTCTGAATGCTACCATGGAGATCTCCAGTCTCCGCACCAACGACTCAGGCACTTACCAATGTCAGGTTGTCATGGGTACGGACTATGAGAGAGACACTGTGCCCCTGGTGGTCTCCGGTAAGTTCAGCAGCCACTGGCAGAGTTTTCATAGTGAGAAAAGTTTAGCGCCACAACTCCCTGTAGGGAAGATTTAAACTTATCAGAAACGCTGCTGGCCGACTGAGCAGCAGCAACACAAAAGGCTTTAAAATTCTCACGTAATTGATTTTTGTGTTTTACTGCATTTCAGGTTTGTTTTGCTAATGTACGATAGATAATGGCAGCATTAAAACAGAAGCACTGCCAACACCTTTTCAGCTTTTTAAAAATTTAATTAAACATTAATAACATTAATTCACCATATCAATATCATAATGATTGACTTAATTAATGCAGCTTACTGCTTTCTGTCTTGTTTGTGTGTTTGTGTTTTCCACTTCAGTAATTGTGTAATTCTTTTAATTAAAGTGTTTGGACTGAATACCAATGATAATTTTTCTGTGTGCTCATCTGTGAAATTTCAGCTGGAACACACGTAGTTATAGATTGATCTGTTTGTGGCCACAATAACATGTTTATTGATTACATCCCACTGATCTATTGATTTCAAACTGTGCTGTGTTGGTACATCCCTCAAATAAATTCCCAAACACCTCACCACCTGTCCCTGTGTCTGCCTGTGTAGGAGTGGTGTTCCACTACCAGGCTCCCAGCGCCCGCTACGCCCTCTCATTTACAGATGCCCAGCGGGCCTGCCAGGAAATCTCGGCTCAGATGGCCACGCCGGCCCAGCTGTGGGCAGCGTACTATGACGGATTTGCCAGCTGTGCAGCCGGCTGGTTGGATGATCAGACTGTCCGGTGAGGAGACGTTCAATAACTTCCTTCTGCTTGTCACACTCCTGTAGTGTTGCTCACTAGTGAGTCCTGCTGTGTTTTGAAGTAGGGCTGCAACTATATTTATTATCAATTAATCTGCAGATAATTATTTTTTTTTGATTATCGAGTAGTGATTAGATTGATTAGAATCCAGATTTTTATGCGACCTCCAGTCAAAAACCCAAAGATACACAATTAGCTATCATAGAGGATAAAGAAAGCCAATGGATTTTCACATTTGTAAAGCTGGAACCTGCAAATTTTAGGCGTTTTTGCTTAAAGCAATTGTACAGCATTCTGGAAAATACGCTCTTTTGCTTGCTTGGAAAGAGTTAGATGGGCACATCGATACCACTCTAATGTCTGTACAGTCAATGTAAAGTTACTGCTAGCAGCTGTTAGCTTAGCTTAGAAAACAGGACTGGAAACGGGGGAAGTCTGGTTGTCTTGTTATTATTCTTCAGTTTTTGTACACATTAAACAAACAAAATAAAATGTGTTAGCGAGCTTTAGAGATGCTGGTGGGCCTTCCTTTGTTTCCTTCCAGAGCTAAAGGTTCCCAGTCTTTACGCTAAGCTAAGCTAAGCTAAGCTAAGTTAAGCTAAGTTAACCGGTTGCCCTTGGTAGCTTCATATTGACCTTAAAGACATAAAACTCATCCAACCCTCAACAAGAAAAGTAAATTAAGTGTATTTCCGGAAAAGCAATCAATCAATCAATCAATCAATCAACTGCTCGTTTCAGCCCTATTTTTTATATGCCTGCTAATTCTCTAACATGAAGACGTTTGCTTTGTTTTCTGTGCTGTTCTCTCTCATCTTGGCTCATCTACTGTCTCAATTAATATTCAGTTCTTCTGTTTTGTCACCTACTTCAGATTCCTGTTCTTCTTATCGCTGTTGTTTCTTTGCTGTTAATTGTATTTTAATTTATTCTAATCCATTGCCCTTTAATAGAGAATGCAAAAAAGAATTTAATCTTAACTGACATTTAAAGTCTGCGATATGTGAGCTGAGATAATGTTCATATAGTAAAATGTCCACCAGGCATTGCTCCTTATTTCCTATGATTAGTAAAAAAGAGGTTCATTCCCATTTATGACTCCCACATGGTTGTCTCCACAGATATTCTGTCCGGTTGCCAGAGCTTGGTTGCTATGGACACAAGGAGTACTCTGCTGGAGTGAGGAATTATGGGAAGAGGGACCCGAAAGAGCTGTTTGATGTGTACTGTTTTGCAAAAGAACTGGATGGTACAAACACACACACACACAAAACACATCAAAACCTGTCACAGCCTTTCAGCTTTTACTCTTACGTTTGCATCATATTTTGTTACAACACGAAAGGACAAGTCGGGAGACGTTCTTTTTCAAGGAGTCTTTTTCTAACATTCAATAAATCCAGTGAAAAGACAAAAAAAACTTGCTATTGCAACAACTATACTACATTATGTGTGATATCAGCCTTTATATGCAGTTGCAGTATTTAACCCAGGTATCTTCACTACTAGAAATCCGTAAGGCATCATCTGCTTCTTGACAAGTTCCTGTCTCGTGTCTCCCTCCTGCAGGTGAGGTGTTTCACTCCTCGGTTCCAGGCAGGCTGTCTCTGTCCTCAGCCTCAGACCGCTGCGTGTCCCTTGGGGGGCAGCTGGCCACAGTGGGGCAGCTTTATCTGGCCTGGAAGGCTGGCCTTGACAGCTGCGCCCCAGGCTGGTTGTCTGATGGCAGCGTCCGCTACCCGGTGACCTGGCCTCGCCCGGACTGTGGAGGGAGCCAACCGGGGGTCCGCACCGTCACACCCAACAGCACTACTGACAACACCACAGCGCTATATGATGCTTACTGCTACAGAGGTATTGTACCATAAATCCGTGGACCACAGTTGCACACTATTATTGTTTACTGAAAATGTGTTAACTCATTATTGATGGATTAGACAGTCCTGAACATGAATACTATGATCCTGCAGCATCATCTCAATAATGTTTTATAATCCTGTGAAATAATGGCTCTTAAATCAAACATGACTACACAAAATTATGAGCACATATTGATATTACTGCCATCTCACGCCTAATAGAAGTGTTGATGTTGCTGTGGAAGCGTTGAGTGCTATTAATGTTGTAACAATGACAATAAATGTCATTGGCACTGTGGTAGCTATGGCAACACTGATTTTAGATCCACATTTTCTATCCCACCGTCATTTATCTGTGAAACTGCTGGATTGACAGAAGCAGCAGGACAGAGAGAAAAAGGACGGGATGTGTTGAAGTGAAATATCTAGATGTTCAGCCTTTGTTCTGTATGTTGACTGATATTACTGATAAATTAAAACACAATAAAGCTTTGAGACACATTGGATAAAATCCTTCAGCGATTGCCATGTGGACAGCAAATCTCTTCAACTTGTTTCCTAGGTAAAGTGAAGGATTCGGGTTCCATCTCTCAGATCTACACCTCCCTCTGGAAGCCCTGGAGCTACCTCACAGGCTTAAGTGATGCTGACTCTGCAGGGACAGGCAAACCCGACTTGACTACACAGCAAACCACCAGTACCAGAGGTTTTACATTTGTCCACAATTAGCAGATGTGTAGCAGCATAAACCAGCTGATTAATCAGAGAACAAAGCATCCAATTGGTAAACCCAAATACAGTAAGATTGAACATATAATAAATTTTTTTGCAAATACATCTTTACAGAGTCCTCAAATAGCCGCGATGTTTCACCTTCAAACTGGACAGGATTGGTTGATCTAGAAGAGGAGGTCTCCCTTCACAGCACCGACGTTTGTAAGGCTGATTTCCAATTATGTGTATTGATCACAAAAGAATGTGGATCTGTGATAGAAATCCAACTAATTGTGTCCTCAGCCTCAGACCCCTGGTCCTCAGAGTCTTCAGGGTCATTTGTGACCCTCCAGCTAATCCCAGGACAGAGCTTCTTCGACTGGGGAGAGCCACTGGAGCCTGGCCCCGACTCAGAGGAGTTTCTCCGACCGCCAGTCCAACCCACTGCTGCTGAGAAGAAGGTCGGTCTGGGTTTAAGCTTTTATTGAGATTTAAAAAATAAATAAAGCAGCATTACTGAATCAGCTAAGTTTCTGTCCATTCATTTGTTTATTTTAGGTGATCTCCAAGATTGTCAAGTCCATTTGGAAGCCTTGGAACTACTTGACGGGGACTGGAGATGATGAAGGAACCCAGGCATCAAGTGGACAGACAACAGAAGGGGAGACGACCACTAAAAATACAGATGAGGGGTCAAATTCATCCGAGACATCCTCAACAGGCGAGTGGATTTATACTGTTTCTGATGTGTGAATTAACACGGCCTATCCTCTGGGATTTAGTCCCCGACAGCGCTTCTGTGTGAATGCAAAAGGGAAAAACAACCAGAAGGCTTGAAGGCAGTGTATGTTAATGAGCATGTACAGTATTCTAAACATATTTCTGCTGAGACACTAATTGGCTCAGGTCTGTGATGTTGGGGAAACATAAGTTGGGCAACACAAGGATGGTACATTAATTACATTACAAACAAGCCCCTGGAATGAGGTTCATTAGAGGAACACAAAATTAATAAGGGGTAAAACTGGGAGAGCAGAGACCTTGGAGCCTTGGCAGGCAGTGAGGAGAGCGTGTCCGGCATCATCTCTTTTTTTGGAACGGCAAACACTGGCTTAAAGTCTGGAGAGAAACCGAAGTCACACTGACCTTTCTCTGCAGCTCGGGGCTGGTGCTCCTAAAGGGCCACTAACAAGCTGTGACTGACACCAGGTGTGGCAGCTGACAAGCTCCAGCTGTACACAATGCTGTTAATGATCGTCCTCACAGGGGGATGCAGCGTAAACAGTTGCAGTGAAATACGCAGTTCTTTAAGTTCGTTAACTTGTCATTGATCTCTGTTGAAAATATTAAAATAATTAGTTGATGATTACAAATATGAAATACTTAAAGCAGAAAAACAGAAGGTGTATGATGTCTTATGTGTACTCAGTAGCCACAAATTTACCATACAAGCACTACAGTCAATGCCTTAAAAAATTTATAAAAATGCTAATTAAATAGGTTTGTGGTCTGCTTCAGTTAAATAGAACAAAGTCAGATGAGAGTCAAATGGTAACACAAACAAACTCCAGTAGTAAACGCTGATATTTATCTTCTCAGCTTCATATAATGGTTGTTTGCATATTTGCTTTTATTCATTGTAGGAATTCGGTCTGTAGCTATTATAATCCCTAAAAGCCCATGAGCATTTGGAAAGCAGTTTTTACTGTAATTTAGTTTTTAGATGTTTTATTCTTGTTTTGTCATCTAACAGGGCTTCAACTTTTTTCTAATCCTTCACAAGCGCTTGAATTCATTCCATAAAATGTGTGAGACCACGTAACAAAGATTGGCTACGTTCTGTTGGTTCTATATTCATGATTTTTACACATCTATTGCCATGCCAGAATCTTTATATTACAAAGTTAGTGCAAGCTTTAAAATTTTCTCCTCTATTTTGCATTTTGAGAATTTAACTAAATTGGTTACATAGATTAAGGCCTGCACCATAAACAATTATTCCCAATTTACAGGGTAGTTATATGCACAGTGTACCAGTACAGTATGTACGGATACATACATGTAGAAAGAACAGAATAGATAAATACCTACAGTATAAATTAAAGTTTCCACAATGTTTACTCTAATTTCAGTTCTTGTTAACTTCTTCCTACATGTATGTACCGCTACATGCTGTACTGGTTCACTGTAATATTTTATTATAAAATTAGGAAAAATCTGAAGCACCAATTACTAATTACCACCAATTCTTATCATGGCTGCTTCTTAGATATGTTTAGTTAGATTCAATCATTTAGAAACCATCTTAATCAAAAATCACAGTATGAGATTTGGAGCATGGTTGAGGATATTTCAGCCCCTCCAGGAAGTTGTGATGTTGCGGTCGCAACAAGTGACACAAATTCAACCTGTGAAATCTTTGTTCAATCACCGCAGCTTTTCCGCAAATTTGACCAATCATTGTAGTGTCCTGTGCAAAATGTTGAACCATACGTCACCAAACTCGCTTCCTTGTTTTTAGTTGTGAAGATGCAGACCTAAAAACTTCTCCCCTTCTCCCCCTTTTACCCTCTCTATTAACTATTTCCCCCACAATTTCATTGCAAACAAACAAACAAAACATGCAACATACATTTAAATTGTTTTGGAAAAGCTGCTGTGAAATTAAGCATTTTATAGACTGCAACAATTCCAGAAAAAGTCAGCAAAATTTACTGTGGGATGCCTATTATTAAGACTGAGGCATTGTGGGTTGAAAAAATCAGGTTCTCTTCAAACATGGATGCAGGGAGATGATGGATAAAGAATGAAATCCAGCTCATCAACCTTCCTCTTTCCCATGTGTCAGGGGTCCAGCAGGTTTACAGGTTTTTATGTACTGGCCGTGGATGAAAGTGGTTTCCAAATGGCAGGCATCTCCGTTCAGTGTTTGTTGAAACTGTGTTAGAGGGTTGTTGATTTGATTCTGAGGCAATATGTGAGGCTGCGGTGGTCTTTAGTTTCATTCTATTTGGCCTGACTGTGTATGTGAGTGCTTTTGTATGCATGTGTGTGTCCAGAGATCTTTTAGACCTTCACTCACTTTTGTTGGTTTGTTTAAGTGTGGCTGTACTTCCATTTAATTTATATGTCTAATATTTGTCATTGAGCCTCAGATTTGCAGTTTGTCTGTTCTTGGCATTTATTGTCATGCATTTTGAAAAGCCAAATGAGATGGAAGGTAGAAATGTGAACAGATTACCTGTGTTCACATCATTGGACAAATTAAGATGGTTGTTTAATTGTGTAGTTGTTTGAATGTGCTGTGTGAGGGTTAAAAGTACAATGCACTGACAATATAGCACTTTTTTTTAATTTATTGATTTTGGGTGTAACTGCTTTGAACAGAGGATATTGGTCGAAGTGAGGCTACCATATTTGTTTGCCTTTTCAGCATCAAGTCGAATATACTGTATCTGAGCTTTCAGAAAAAGAGGCAGTTTATTAGTTTTAATTACGACTTGGATAGTGACATAAATGACATTTACAAGTCAGAAACTGGTAATTATCGTATCTCTGTGTGACATGAACATAATATTGTTTTGAAAGCTCACACTTATGTGCTGAATGTTAGACCTTACAAACAAGCACCTTCTGCTAATTGGTAAATAATTCAGTATAGCTCTCCAGTCTAACTGCCTTTGTAATAAAATTACTTTCATTAGTTTATCCATCCCTTACATACAGGGATCTCTGGTTATATTTGATGTTGTGACAATAATGTTCAACATACTGTAGAGGGAAATGTTCAGCACTATGCGCTATTCTTTAAATGTGTTTCTTCACAGTGTGCAGAGGTTTGCTTGCTGGTGTTAATAAGATTGAAGTGTAGACATTGTTGGTACAGTGATAGAGAAAAACAGCTGACAGATAGCTCAGAGAGTGTTTGTTTTGCCTCCCTTGGCAAACCACAGAGAATCCATAAGAAGATTTTTACTTTGTTCGTCACTCTTGGCTTTGTCTTTTGCACTATCCTCTATGTCTGCAATAATTGACTCCCCTCGTTCTTTTCTTTGTCTTTGTTTTGTGCCCTCTGCAGGTTTGTTTTCTTGGGGAAGTTCATGGTTCACTGGTCCCTCGAGGGAAAACTCTACACCAGCCAGTGAAGAATCACCCACTCGTCTGGCATCGACTTTGGCCGCCTCCAGTAACTCTATGACTACAGAGAGCACAAAGAGCTGGGAGAATTCAGAGACACATGCATCCACCACCGCCAGCTCTGCACCAGAAATCACCTCATCCACTGGGGAAACCTGGGTCCGTGTTGAAACGGAGACCACAACCCAGCCAGGTGACAAGAGGGAGGAGACAGTGACCTCTAGAGCAGGTGGTAGAGGAGGTAGAGGGAGGGGGAAGAAGAACAGAGGGGAGGACAGGAGTAGAGGAGAAGACAAGGGCAGAGGAGAGGATAAGGGGAAAGGAGAAGAGGAGGGTAGTGGAGAAATCACCGGTGCCGAAGCAAAAGGGGAAATTCAAGTTTCACGTCGACCCGTTGGAACAAGTAAACCAAGAGAAAGATCCAGAGAAAGATCTAGAGAGAGGGGTCACAGAAAGGGACAGTCCACCACTACCATGACTACCACAACCATTGTTAGTCCCCTGGAGCTCACAGCGATGACCACAACCGGGTCAGAAAGCGCTGACTTATCCACGTCTGGATCCCTGTCCACCTCACCAGTAGAAACCCCATTGCCATCAACCTCACCAGATCCATATCAGTCCCTCTCCTCATCACCATCACCATCACCATCGCCATCCATCACAATGTCCTCCTCCCCATCTCAAGCCACTTCGCCATCCAATTCCCAAACCTCGTCCCTCTCACCCTCACCATCACCACAACCTTCCCATTCTCCATCTCAAACCGTTGGATCAGGAGACCTGGCTTCATCTCCTCACTCAGACAACCAGGACAGCTCCACCAACCCCTCAACATCGCTTAACTGGGTCCCAGTGGAGAAAGCAGTTCTTAACAGCTCTCTGGATTATCCTCCATTACTGCCGGGACCCCCAGATGAGGAGGAGCCTGCTTGGTCTCATGCTGTCGGCTCAGGGGCCCTGTTACCTGGCAACATGGAGGAGGAAAGCAACAGAGGAGGAGTCAACATCAGTAGCATAACTCTCAGCCCAAAAGGTTAGCATTGTATGTCTATTCTCCGGTGTTTTTTAATCCTGTTGGTAGGCTTTACTTTTACATTTGATATTATTCCACAAAAAACTCTAGGATGAATGAATTACAACATGGGTCTTATTTTAGTTTTGAACATTATTCCTATTGGGAATAGTAAGATTCTACTAACAGAGTTAAATTCTGAGATCTGTGGTTTTATGGTTCATAAAAGAGTTTTTCTTTACCTCCAAATAAAGTGTTTCAGATATTCTGTGTAAACTATTGGCATCTTTATAACCAGTGACGATCATTAACACATTCCTGAGTAAAGCCTTCCAGTAATGTGGTTACTTTTTTCCGTAATGAGTAATATAAGGGATTACGTTAAACTGTAAACTGTAGAAATGGTTTTCCCCTAAACTTTAAGTTGTATTTTTATGTTGTGTTGTCTTGGCTTGCTTACGTTGTGAGGACTGGATGTCTGGAGTGCTGCATTTAGCTGCTGATGGTCAAAATATTTCCTAACCAGAGGCTTGCTACTTGGTATTGGAAAAGTCTGAGAAATACGTTTATTCGCTGTCTTGCTGCCCACTAAATATGTAGCTAAAGCCAGCAGCGTATTAGCTTAGCTCAGCAAGAAGACTGGGAATAGGGGGAAACAATTAACTTGGCTCTGTGAGAAGATAACAAAATCTGCCCCTTGGAAGTTTGCTGTCCTCAACCTGATTCAGCTGCATATTGCTGCAAACCCTGTTTCAACTAAATCTGCCTAGCAGCACGTCTAAAGCTCAGTGTATGTTGTATCTTCAAACCCTGCTGAGTAACATAAAGTAGTGTGATGAGTAATAATTACTTCTGTTGTTGAGTAGTAAGTGAAGTACTGTATGACTAATTGATTACATTTTTGAAGTAGCTTGTCCAACACTGTTTTTAACTTGGTTGTTGAACTGTTCATAGTCAGACCTTCTGACTTTTCGTGTTTCTTGCTCAGTGCACTTAGTTCTGACAGCATGCCAGTCTCAGGAACTCAGGAATTACTTTGGTAAGCACATTGTTATCATAAACGGTAGAAATGAAGGCCGACGAAAATAACCATCCTTTAAGATTGCCTTTTCATTTCCTCCCCTGACCTCACCATTGGCATATTTATTCAAGAAATTCAGTGTGTATTCCCCTGGCTGCATACCTTTTATTCCCACCAGAAGCAGAGACCCTATTCCTGCCACCATACACAATCTGTTGATTAAGTCTGCAGTTCGGTCTATCTCAGTGAAGCTCCTGGCTGGCCACCTGGTTTACTACTTATTTTTCGCTTAATAATGAGAGCTCATGCAGGAAACATCCCATCACCCTGCGTTTGAAGGCCCCACGGGCATCACGCTATCACACATTTCTATGGTGATTTATTTTGCTTCCTTTGAAAGCGACTCATGTCTGCTGCAGGCATGGCTGAGCTGCCTGCTCGGGGTGTGAGCAGTCTGCGGATGGAAAACAGCTGTAAAGTGTATCGACAAGAAGCCGAGGGCAACCTTCTGGGCTGCTGGTGTACAGTATGAGGGTTGATTGATTGACTGAGACCCTGGAGTCATGCAAGCAGAAGGCCATAAACACACAAACACAGTGATATCTTTGCTACACAAACAGAAGAGGTGGATGGATCCTCTCGCAGGAGATTCGACCAGAATGATGACTTTTATCTTACATCTTTCTCATGTATACACTCTCTAATGCAGCTCCCTTGAGGTGGGGTTTCATGGCGGTAGTCAGTATTTTCTCTCCTGACTGGATCACGGAGCACTTCATCAGTCAGTTCAATCAATGAGAGAGAAGAGAAAAAAAGAGACGCCTCTGGTTGGATTCAAGGACCTTCAGTAAGAAAGCACTTTGTTCTCAAACATGAACACAAGGTGCACAAACACACAATGCCATCAACTTTCTTTCCATTGTCGGATCTTTTTAATCAGATTTTTATCGCACAGTCTTTGTGTAACATTTAAAATGCAGCCACTTTTTTTGCTTCCACCTTTCTCTTTGTGCTATTCTGCCTTCACAGAAATGCCAATGCCATCTGTGAGGTCTGAAGCGCTTATCTGAAAAATCATATTTCCAAAGTAAACCATATTTCCACCGTGTCTGTGGCTGTGATTATTCAGAGCAAAAGCTACATTTAATGCATGGATTAATACTTTGAGGTACCCCAGCGTTGCTGCTGCAAAGTATTATCCCCTTCGAGTCCCATCTCTGTGAACTTATTAGTTGGATTTTGCTGTTCCCAGCATTGTTGTTGTTTGTGCCGGTGGTGTCAGTCGCTGTGCAGGGCGAGGGACAGTCCACTCTGTCAGCTCCTTCTACAGACTATTGATTTTTCTGCATCACTCGCTTTAATGAACGGCAATCGCAAAAGGTTTATCTTTAACACACACACGCACACACATGCTGTAGTAAATCTGCTTGTCATAACAGTTGATATTTGTCAAGGCGTGCCATGACCTTGACTGATGCAGAGGGTGCACTTCGGCCTGGACTGATGTACATTAAATGAAATGCATGGCTGGTTTTAGCACCTGACTTCAGCAGAATTTAAACAATGAGCAGAAGATTCGCTCGCAAAACTTAACATAAATCTATAGAGCTGATGCTATTGAGGAATCTTGCTCTGTACTGTTCCTGAGTCCTTGTGATTAAAAACCCTCAATCTTTTTTTTCCCTTTGTTCCTGAATGTTTATTTTTCCCAATGCAGCAGCGGCATGATGGTAATTCAGAGGATGTGAGCTTGAGATGTCTGCTTCTGGTTAGTTATTGGACAGGCTCAGCCTCAAGGCAAATCATAGACATGGTATTGATTTTCGTTCATCGCACCGTGTTAACACAAACACACAAACGTATACACACACACACACACAGTCAACCGCACACAACAACCCCCTCTTAAGCAGTCCTGAGTGTCAGGGAGAGCTGGCAGAACAAAGACTCCCACAGCCGAGCTTCTGCGGCCAGGATGAACGAGTGGTGGTTTTCAAAGACCTTAAGTTGCTATAATGAGCGGCTCAGGGGAGAAACACGTGGTAGTGTGTCAATTGATATGGAAATTTGTAATTGTGGAAGGAGACCACACACACGCACACATTTAAGGGGTGAATAGCGGGGCCGAGGCACTCGGCGGGGGGTCTGCTCATTTCTGTTGAGGATGGCTAGTGTCTGAAGTTCTCACGCTGCCCAATACGCTCGGTGGAGTGAGCCAAGGCCTCGCTTTCCATATGGTAACCATGACAACTGTGACTGTGAGTGGATGGCGAGGTTGAGGCTCTCTGGCTTCTGATCCCTTTGAAAAGAGACAGAGTGTGAAATGGATATGCGTGTTGTAAATGCTGTTTTTTGGCTGAGCTGCAATAATAGAAAATTAAGGTGCCATGTTTTTCTGAGTCATACATTGATTCTGTATTTTTCCAAAATCCGAGCAGGGGGTTGAGGAAGATTGTGTCTAAGCCATCCAACTTTAGAGGATCACCATGGAAATGAATATTTTAAGCTTTATTCAGCCGGTGAGCTTAGATACACCTGTTTTATCCTCACCAAAATAAATCGCATTTACAAACAGAAAAAAACATTCTCCTTCAGAATATCACTAATGGACTCCTTTATTTTGAATCCCTAAATTCCCCCTCCACCCCCATCCGTCTGTCTCTTTCAGTCGAGGTGGAGCCCTGCGTGACAAACCCATGTCTGCATGGAGGAAAATGCCTTCCTCAGGGAACGGGCTACAGCTGCTACTGCCCACAAGGATACGCCGGGGAGAACTGTGAGATTGGTGAGTGATGCTTACACACACACACACATCCCACACACAAACACACACACATGCATGTATCCAAACAGTGGCATAATAAAGTCAGGCCTGCGTCAGTCTGTACATATTGACGTAAGGCTCTCCAATAGCCTATTGGCAGGTCAAGGGTCAAGCCGTCCGTCACATTGAGAGAGTAGGTTGAATAGAGGCTGGGGTCAGAGGTTAGGGTCAGACTGCCAGAGTACGATGAGGGTGATTGTCCCTCAACTATTGGTAGCTTGGTAGATTTTTTTTCTCTCTGCAATCTAAACTCCTGGCTTAAATAGCATCATGTAGCAAAGATGAAGATTTATTTACAGTCGCTTGAATTTTTAAGCCAAATTGATTTTCTTGTCCCTGAAAATACCTAAAGGTTTTGGAATCAAGTCAACGCCTCTCATAGTTTCATTGTGGCTAAAAAAAAAAAAAATCGTTTAATGGCGGAAATCCCAGATTCAGATCAGCACCGAAAACAAATCAATTGTTCCTCACCCGAAGGCCTTTCCATGCCCACCAAACTTCACAGAAATCCATTCATAGGATTTTATGATGTGCTGCTGACAGAAAAGCTAACAGACGGAGAAACATAACCTCTATGGGTACGTATAAAGATTGCCGAGAGGTTCTGATCACTGTTAAGGTTATGGAGGGATAAGGTTAGGGCCAACTGGCTGCCATGTTGAACAAAACCAATGAGCATGAGCTGTAAGACAAAGAGGGACAGAATCTAAATTCAAAATCTTCCTGATCAATTGTTCTTTATCTACATGTAATTTCCTCTCTTGGTCTTTATGCTGATTTCCCTTTTGTTGTTTCCTTTTTGTGTTTGTCTCTCGCACGGTAAGTTCAGGTATGAATTACGCACAGAGGTGTGACTGTATTATGCTGGAATCAGAGAGCCAGAGGTGTGACTGTATTATGCTGGAATCAGGGAGCCAGATGTGATCCTGTCTCTTCAAGGAAAGAATAAACATCTGCAGACAAACAGCTGAAGCATTTTTAATGCAGCTTGTTGTGGCTGGATTCAGATACATGCGGTACTGTGCTATTTCTGTAAACACATAAAAGCTGTAAAAACATTACATTTAAGTTTAACACAGAATCTCAACTACCTGCTGCAGTTTGACAGCTGATATAGATATTCAATGTCATACCTGCCGATTCATGAGCCGCTTGCACTCCTTTTGTTTTGCATTTTCTGCTTTTATTGGATAGTTAATATTGTAGAGCCAGACAGGAAATGAGCGGAGAGAAAGTGAGTATGACATGTAAAGGTCCAGAACCACAGTGTTCCTATGGTTTGCTACCAGTGCACCCAATGCACTCCATTTAAGTGGGTTTCCCTGTCCTTGACGGCACATACTGTAACAAGCGGCGCACCAGCATGGCCAAATGAAATNNNNGAAATCTACCACTCACAAAACTCCAGCCAGGCTTTCATTCCATTTCCACTGCAATTTCTTGTTTAAATCATTGGCCCTGATTTAAAGGCCCTACACAACCATGACACATCCACTCGAGTGTTTTCACTTTCTGATTAGACCTCTTCTCAGCACTGTGCTTGATTGGACTTTTTCACAGAAGAAATTGTTAATGTTATTAGTAACACCTGTGCTTTTCCTACTGTGACAATTTGAAATGTCTGCAGTGAAAAAGGGCCTTTTGTCCTATTCTCATTCTTCTGTTGCACCTGCAGTATAACGTTTGCTGACATGTATTCGGAGTATAATTCATTTTTAAATCCCTTTTTAATTCTTCCAGTATATTCTGACTCAAATGGATCTGTCCACCCACATTAAGGTTCACAATGATAAATATGGAATAGAAATTTGTCTTTTTCTCACACTGTTTATACAGAGATAACAATCCTTTTAATATCTGTGTTTGTACCATTGCAGACAGTGTTAGAGATCAATGAGCCTGGGTATTTAATTTGCTAGATTACCCAGTAGGAGACATCACATACCTGTGATTACGTATACCATAACTAAAGGTTTTCTCCATCCATACCTACCTCTAACTTTAAATCCAAACTGTGCCCCTAATGCAGTGACACTGTTGAAGTGCGCGCTTTGGCGTAGTCCCCTTCATCCCAAAGCAGACACTTGCTCAGAGGTACTGTGGCACTTTGACATGCAGGTATAAATCTGCCATAAGGGTCCTAATTTGTTCCTTAACATATGCTCAGCTCATTAGGCAGCCATTCCTCAAGGAAGTGATCTCTTTATGAATAAATGAACCACATACAGTCACATACTTATCTGTATTCACAGTCCCATTCAGGCTGTGAACACCTTAATACTTACTGAGTGCCCAGCTTTGTCTGTTCAGTGTGACAGAAAGACAGACAGACGGACAATCAAACTGACAGCCAGCAGCTGATGCGTGGGTATGCTGGAAGGCTTTGTTATGGATTTGCGGAATTTGCAGTATTATCTCTCTGAGGAGCAGCTTCCCCTCTGCATTATGGATGAGAGGGACGAGGGGATCAAACTTTTTATATTGAACAACAAAGAGCTGCACTGCTTTTAATGGGGAGAGGAAGTTGGTGGTGAGTGTTTAACTATGAACAAGCTCACCTAGAGGTCATTCAAGGTCACACCAGTCATGTTTAGCTAAGGGGCTTTTCACATTTATATGAAAATTTTTTAAATTATATTCCAGGTTTCAATAATATAAAAACAATTGAATTTCATGAATAGTCTGAGGCCTGAGTAACTATATGTCCCCCCAGAGGAGCAATTTTCTCCACTGTTAGTGTTAATAAAACATTCTCCATCACTTTTGCAAGAAATCCAGCGTCTGCAATTTTCAGCTGAACACACTAATATGTGTTTTAAGATGAATGTTCTCAAGCTTAAACATTTGGAGATTATCTCACAATTTGAATCAAAGCGTTAGGCTGAGTTGCACCCACACGGTTTCATTTCAATCTTTCATAAATCTGACTTTGGTACAGTTATGTTTAAAATAACTAATCCTTGATTTATATGATCAAAGATTTACTCCTAAATCTGCCACAGTGTCAGTCTTCATATTGCAAAGGTAAGAAATTCTAAATTTGGTTTTGTGGTTTAATGAACCGAGCTGTCAAGTTATTTCTTCAATAAGAAAAGTGACGCTTGAAAAACTCTCAGACTACCTGTGCTCCTAAAATCCTATTTGATCTTACAGACAACCATTGTTTGATTGATTCCAAATTCACGCCTGTTAGAAGACTAAGAAAGCATACAAGAAAGCACATTAACATAAATCTCTGTTTTCAGTTCCTATATCTGTCCTAAAAAAAAAGCCTCATTTCCCTCTATTTATCTTTAAAGAGCTGCCATTTTCATAAACAGATAAACTGCCTCTGCTGTCGGATTAAAGTTAGATCAAACCTTAAATATTTTGATGTCACAGCAAAAACTACAGTTAAGGCTGAGAAAATTGGATTTTAAAAAGAGATTCAAAAACAATCTTACTCAGTCTCACACTGGTACCCCACAACTTGCTTTATTGATAAACCAAAGTTTAGTCCAGATTAAAAATTAATTCTTGCTTTTGCTATCAACCCTCAGTGTGTAGTGACAACCGTCTGAAGAGCCTGAATCAGGCTAAAAGGTCATTCTCGTGTGATCTGTCTGACACATTTAGCTCTTAACAGCCACTGACCTTTTGCTTGGAACTGTTAAGATCACAGGAAATACTTTGTGGTAAATTTGAACCTATAAGTAGCATTTTTGCACTCTTACTGTGAGTTTTAATAGATTTCTGCAGTCCTAGGGAACATCTGTTATTCTGGGTCCAAAAAACCTCACAGTGGTGAAATAAGATTACATGCCCTCCACTTACAATGATAAAGTGATGCTTTATGGATCCCTGTAGAGAAATGTTCCTTTTTCCTGCATTTTTTCTTCCCACAGAGAGGTTAGAGAGCACAGTTAGCACAGTAGCACAGCAGCCTCAGAGCTGGTAGGGTATCTATTGTTGCTTAAGGCCTCTTCACGGGGTGGATCGCTGCCAAAATGGGGGCTTGAACCCAGATTCTCTGGTCAGGCTCAGCCTCTCTGCTGACTAGTCCATCAAATTTATGTCTGTACTTTAACTGCTAAAAAAGCAATGCAACTTGCAACGTGCCATTTCTCCTTCATGCATCCTTTTGTAAATGGAGACAATGGAAGAGAAACAAAAGGAGAGATTAGACATACATTAAGTCGACCCTAAGCTCTGTAAATACATAAAAAGGATGTAATAACACTTGGACGGCTTTTAGAGTGTCTTCCTCTGTGAGAGAATAAGGACAAATAAGGAATCTGAAGGGGATTAGACTCTCTGTATTAGACTGTCTGTATTCTCCGCACATATCCTGTTTGTATTACTATACTGTACTCCCTAACATGAACAAATTTCACTGTCTAAACCAGGACTAATGACCAGCTCATTTTGTGTCAGTGCTTGAATGGCAGCAAACACCCACACAGTTTCTCTTTCTTTAGGAACAACATCTCTTTAACAGAAAACATCCTTTTAATTTGAACCCTAATGGGATCTGCAACCCGCCTGCTCTTTCTTCTTTTTTTCTTCCTCATAGACGTAGATGACTGCCAGTCAGAGCCATGTGAAAATGGAGGTACTTGCATCGACAAGATTGATTCGTTCCTCTGCCTTTGCCTGCCCAGCTATGGAGGAGACACGTGCGAGAAAGGTGAGAGCAAGAGAGAGACCACACACATACACATGGATGAAAAAGGGATTACTCCAAGCAATTTGGGGGAATTATCATGCATTCCTTGTTCATATGAAATTATATTCAGCACATTGTTGTGGTGTTGCAGTGGTGAACTTGTTAAGATTCCCAGTCACCTGAAACCAGCAGCAAAATGTTTGTGATGATGGAAATATTCCTGATCAGTGTGCAGCGTCTCTTACAGCTATATGTCATGACACAACATCACAAAGATGCTTTTCTCTGCAGCAATCAGCCAGTGTATCTGTGTGTGTCACAAGGCTGCAGGGTGACAGACTGAAACTCACAACACACAACGATATACACACTGCTTTCCGTGCATCAGTCAGTATTTGTACAGTTTTCAGTCAGCATCCTGCATACATGCACACATTCCAATATGCCTGTGTGGTAGACTAATAAAAAAACAGTGATATGTGTAGTTGATACTTTCGTGATTATGTATCATATTTTATGTGAAGGTGCCCTATGGAATTTTCCTGTAGACAAACAAAAGTTAATGTTTACATTCACTGTACCATGAGGTATTCTTGAGGTTGAATCTATTTCACAATGAATCTATTTCATTCCTGTAAAAACATGTTCAAGGCATTTTTTTATCCGTTGTTGCTAACTTAAAAATGTTCTTCTTCCATGCGTTCTGTCAATCAGTGAAATAGTGTGAAACCTCTGACAGGAATGTGTATTGCAGGTTTGCATATGGTTCACGTAGACATAGTAATTGTCGCCAAGGTGAAACCAAATACGGATCTAAATGACAAGAAAACTTCATTTATATAGCATTTTTACAGATAACAGCAGATAAAGAGTGCTTTGTATGATTAAGAAATATTAATAATAATATAACAAATAGTGAGATAAAAAAGAGGAGACAATAAAAAACAAGCAGAATTAAGTGGAAAATCCATAAAACAAAATCAAGAAAAAGCCAAAAAAATCCAAATGTTTTGAAAGATTACTTTAAAGGAAGGAATAGTAGGAATAGTTTGACATTGTGATGTATATGCTCATTTGCTTGCAATGAGTTGCCAAAAAGTGTTAACAAGTGAGCTTTAGAGGTTCCGGTTGAATTTTGTCACACTTGGACAGAGCCAGGCTTGCTTTTCCCCTTTTATTAGTCAGTAAATAACAGTCAAAACCAAGCATGGGAAGGCAGAGAAACAAGCCAGGGACGACAACCAAGCAATGGCTTTGATGCTAAATATAAATACATTTAAACCAGGCTAAGCTAGTAATAAACTGGCTGGGTGTAAAATAGTTTGATGCAGGCAATCTATTATCGAAATTGGCAATTCTGGATTAGTGTTAGGTAATCGAACAGGCGACAAGAATTAACCCACAAATATCGGTCCATAATACAACAAAAAGGAGTTCATCTATTCTCATGAGCATGACGCAAAATTCAAGCATGTCTGTGTGGTAGGTGGCACTAATCATCCCCCATACCACACACTGAAACCAAAGTGCACACACACACTGATTCATCACTTCAATGGTTTCAGCCACCTCCAGCTCCAGATCTGTCCTCCTTGTGTGTGTATGTGTGTTTGTGTGTGTGTGGTTTGTGTAGTAGTAGTAGTAGTAGTAATGAGAATTAATGAATATCTAACCTTTGCAGTTATAAATGAATCCACAGGCCTTGGTGTTATTAATGAATACTAATAGTGCAGAGAGAGGGCCACATGTGCTGTGAATTGAAAACGAGCCTGTATAATTACAGTTCATCTATTTAGCCTCTCAAGATGCCAGAGTCATATATTTTAGTCTTTATTTGCCAAATGAGATAGAACGCTTCCTCTCTCCTCCCATCTCACACAGACTATTTTATCTTACTCTGTGTTCCTGCACTTAACCACGCTCTTACGTGCCCTTCAAGAAATTATTTTAGCATCTCTCATTTCCTCTACTCCTCTCTCTTCATCTTTACAGACATAGAAGGCTGCGAGCATGGTTGGAGGAAGTTCCATGGCCACTGCTACAGGTAAAAAAGATGAAAAACTCCATTAAAATAAATGGAGTCACAATATATTTACCTGCAACCACAGGTGCCTCGTGTATCTGCATTACGCCTTTATACCCTGGAGTTATTTGTGACATACTTACCGCAGTGCTTTGTACCGTTTAAACCTGTCTGGCTGCATAATATATGAAATATGTATTTTCATATCTACTTTCACTGCATTCTCCCACAGGTACTTCACTCACAGACACACCTGGGAGGATGCAGAGAAAGACTGCAGAGAGCACAGTGCCCACCTCAGTAGCGTCATCTCTGCTACCGAGCAGGAGTTTATCAATGGTATGTGCACATTTCTGTCAGTTTGGTCTGTTGTAACTTACATATAACACAATTGTACAAACAGGAAAAAAAAGAAAATCAAAGACACAAATTTGGGCCAATGTGAGCCCTGGGCATGCAGAAACAAACAGCGTAAAATGATACAAAATGAAAAGTATTAATATCAGATAGCAAAGGCAAGGTGTTATTCTTAAAATTGAAGCAGGAAACAGGATAATTTGTTGATTTACTGTACGATACAGGGGGAGCATGCAAGGCGGGAGGGAAGTCACAAATCAGATTTATGCACAAATGAAATGATATAGCAAAAAGTGTCGGAAGGTAATGACAAGATGGAGAAAAACATTTGGACTGACAGAGTGTAAAACAAATAGACAGAGATATGTATCAGTCAATGTTTGTGTTGAAGTCATTTAGTCAAAGGAACATGTTGAAAGCACTGTTGTTTTTTACAGGTCTGGGTCATGACAACGCCTGGATTGGTTTGAATGACCGCACAGTGGAGGAGGACTTTCAGTGGACTGACAGCAACGATCTGGTCAGTGATCAGTTTTGAACTGTGCTCCAGTTTTAAAACCTCAGAAACCCTTACTTTATTGATAACATGCATGACTAAATAAGAAACACTCAGGCTTTCTACCAGCCATTATACATGGAGACCAGAATGGTTTCGTGCAAAATCGTCAGGGGTTCCACAATGTGAGGAGAGTTCTTAATATAATCCACGAATGTGAAGAGTCCCCTGATACTGCAATACTATCACTTGACGCGGAAAAGGCGTTCGACCGAGGTGCTTAAGCGTTTTGGATTTGGTGATTACTTTCGTAGATGGGTCGAAATTGTACTTAATTCTTCTGCAATGGTGTCTACTAAAAACCTTATCTCTTAGCCATTTGAGTTATTTCGAGGCACAAGGCAAGGGTCACCAATTTCACCTCTACTTTTTGTTATAGCCATGGAACCTTTAGCAATAGCGATTACATCACAACCCTCAATCCATGGTATTAAGACCCGGGATATGGTACACAATACAGCAATGTACGCTGATGATACTATTGTGTTTTTATCACATCTTGCAGAAACGATACCATCTCTCTTGGAGTTATATTTGGGCATCAGAATAACTCCAAAGATAAGTAATCTTAGCTCAGCCAATTATGAGCCCATGGTAGTAGAGGTGTCGGAAGAGATCACTAGATGGACAACACTGCCGCTCTCTTTACTGGGAAGAATAAACATAGTAAAGATTAATATATTACCTACATTTTTATATATTTTTCAGTCAATTCCGCTGGCCCCTCCTCCTTCTTTTTTTCCTAAGACCAGAAAGCTTCTTTCTAATTTCATCTGGAACAATAGGAAGCCAAGACTCAGACTCTCCCTCTTATATTTACCTTATGATAGGGGAGGACTACAATTGCCAAATCTAGAATGGTATTATTGGGCTGCTCAGTTGAGGACCACAATGTTTTGGTTTTCGAAAGATGTTTTCTTGCCCTGGTTAGAAATTGAAAAACTGTCCTCAAAAGGTTGTCATTGAATAGCTATCTATACTCAGCATCTTTTAAAACATTAAAGAAAAGTACTACTAATCCTTTTGTAAAAAACACTATTGTTGTTTGGCATGAAGTACAAAAAATGTTGGATGACTCTACAGGGTTGTCCTGTTTCTCTCCAATGTGGGGTAATGAACACTTCGCCCTGGCTAAGAACGACATGGGTTTTAAAGCATGGTGGAACAAGGGCATAGTGAAACTACAGGATGTATATGAGGATTATACTATAATGTCATTCAATGAGTTAAAGGCAAAGTTTGATATACCACAGAAACACTTTTCTTTAAGTATTTACAACTTAGAAGTTTTATTCTGGCACACTTAAACAATTCAGTGCAACAACCCCCATTCTCCGTCTTAGAAACACGTTACAAAAAACGGTTTTGGTAAAATACTGGTCTCCCGGTTATATAACATGTTGGTTGAAAACCATAAAGAAAACTCTGATAGTAAAAGACAGGAGTGGATACGTGACTTACAAGAAGATATTTCACTTATTGAATGGAGTAAAATATGTTTAAAAACACACACTCAAACCATCAACACTCGATTGAGAATGATACAAATTAATTGGACAATGCGGACATACATCTCCCCTGTACAATTAAATAAATTTGATCCTAATATACTTGATTTATGTTATAAGTGTAATAGTCAGCAGGGTACATTATATTACTTCTTATGGAAATGTGAAGAGATTCAAACATTTTGGAGCTCAGTGTTAAAGTATATCTCTCAGATCACAACTTCCCCTGTACCTTTTTGCCCTAAGTTATGTATTTTAGGCATTTATCCAGATGACTGTACTTTATCTTGTAAGGAAAGAAAAATGGTTGACCTTTGTTTACTACAGGCCAAACGCTGTATAGCATTATGTTGGAAGAATGTTGGGAGCCCGTCTTTTAACCACTGGTTAAATAAATTAACATCGAGTTTGGCTTTTGAGAAACTGACCTATATTGTTAGAAAGAGGGCTTCTGAATTTTACAACATTTGGAAGATATTTCTGGAACTGTTAAGGGGTGGAGATATGGAGGAGGCAGTGGGAGAATAAGATAATGAAAAATGTCTGATTTGTTGTTCAAGATTTTTTATTTTTTTTGCTATCTACATTTATTTATTTATTCATTTATTTTGGTCCTTTCAGTATTATTTATTACAAGTGTTGGATGTTGTACTAAAACAAAAAAACAATAAATATATGTTTAAAAAAAAAGAAACACTCTTTTGAAAAAAAACATCCTCAACTACGGATGAATTGTTTAACAGGGGAAAAACTCAGATAATGTGTGGGTGTGGTTTGTTTAGATTTGAGAGACAGCGGACTTGAAGTATCAGCAGACAACCCCACAACAGATTCAAATGTTGCTAAATTCTGATTGGTGCAAAGAAGTATATGACATCACTTTCTCAGAATCAGAAATACTTTATTGATCCCCTGGGTGAAATTTGTTAATTTCCACTTTAAATGAGCTCAGAGATATACACACAAATAGAAGAAATCTCTCCTGAAGTAGCCAAAACTGCTGGACATTTGCCAGAAAGATTTGTATTCATAAAGAAACTTATTGCTCATAGTATTAAAAAGATAGAGAAAATTTGCTTTCAGGGCCTTTTAAAGCTGTTATTTTCATCATTTTAATTAAAACTGTGTCCCCATTTATGTGTAATCTTACAAATGGCATTCATCTGAAAGTATACTGAAGATTCTCAGTCTGACTGTACTGACACATGAAAGCAAATACAGCTGAATCTTGTTGCTCGTTGTTGTGCAGGTATACGAGAACTGGAGGGAGAGCCAGCCGGACAACTTCTTTGCAGGTGGGGAGGACTGTGTGGTGACCATTGCCCATGAGGACGGCAAGTGGAACGACGTGCCCTGCAACTACAACCTGCCCTACATCTGCAAGAAAGGCACAGGTACTGTAATGCTGCTGGACTGAACATGTGACCAAATGTGCAAACGAACAATAACGTGCTGTTCCCTCCCTTGTTTGACACATTGAGGTCCAGTATGACTCTCAGCAAATTAAAACTTAATCAATTCAGGCAGGGAGATTTCTGCTGTCTCGGTACAATTTAGTTGCTTATCGCCGACCAGCTGGTCACCTGTTAGTCATCAGTGCTTGTGCTTGTGCTCTTTATGTAGAAAATAATTCTTTCTCTCATTGGTTGGTCAGACTTCAGTAGCTGTTTCGCATCACTTGCACTTTTTCTCCATTAAAGGTCACAGCAGCAGATGCTCCAAAAACTGACGCCAAACACAAACTTAAGTGAAGTTTGTGATTCAGTCTCAAACCTGTATTGATTTTTGAGGGCAAGATCAATCTCAATCCTCCTCTTATTGCCGTCTCTCCCTCCTTGGGGCTCACTTACACTCACGCAGGCAGCAGAACTGTACAGTAGTTGCAGTTATTTCCAATTACTGCCTTGTTCACACAAATATGATACGAAATTCCTCCGAGCCATTTTGCCAGGTTTTCCTAATACTCATAGCCACAGCTTCCCCCTGTGACCCGACTCAGCTGAGCTGAATGTGAATGCAGTAGTGAGATCTTGTAGGATGCAAAGAAAGTAAAGACGGGGGACACGCTGAAGAAACAGAGAACGGTCACTAGAGTAGATAGAAAAAGAATAAGAGAGATGAAGGAGGACATGGAGAAGAGGATTAAGTAGTTTGAGTGTTTGTTTGTCTGGCTGTGGTCTCATGGCTCTGTGGTTTGGCTGTAGTCCCCATCTACTGCAGAGACCCATTACCTCCTTCTGGCATCACTATAGCTCTGCTCAACACACAGATACAGAAACAAGGCTGCCATCTAGAGGCAAAACGCAGCTGCAGTATTGTTGCCTGAAAATTGAATTAGGTAAAAACCTAAAACATGGACAGCTGCACATTAGCATTTGTACTTAACAGTCAGACACTGGATATATGCCAACATTTATCTCTATAATTTATCTGATGGTTTCATCGAATTATTTCCTGCAGTGTTGTGCGGGACCCCGCCCGCAGTGGAGAACGCCCATTTGATAGGTCGACGGAGGTCACACTATGACATCCATGCAGTGGTCCGCTACCAGTGCGCCGAAGGCTTCTTCCAGCGTCACATCCCCACTGCTCGCTGCCGGGCCGATGGGAGCTGGGAGAGACCCAGGATCATCTGCACAAAGTGTGAGTGTTCAGTTTTAACCTCAGTCATGTATTTACAGATAAAACTGATTGAAGGTGATTGAGGTTGAAGGAAAATCATAAAGCTTTTTCCACTTCATTTTAATTAGTTAACTAACAGCATTATATATTGATTTTCTAATCAATAATAATACATAACTCTCATGATAACCTTTTACTGTCCATAAATCTGCTCCATAATCATGTATCATGTTTATTACAATCCCAAACCTTCCTTCTGGTTATCATTGTAAATAACAATTTCATGCAGCATGTAGCTTAATTTCTGGTCTTTTGATGCTCATATCCGAAGCAATTTACAATACAGGTAGTGCAGCAGGTAAATAGGATTAATTTATTTTAACCACTGAAATTACAATCAACCCAAAGTAACTGCAAACTAGGTGTCCTGGTGGCTAAGCAGGTAGGGCACCAACCATGAACTGCAATGTCCCTGTTTCAAGTACAGCCGGGGACCATTGTTGAATGTAATTTACCAGCTCTCTCTCTCTCATCTTTTTACATATTTTTAGCCCGGCGATCACACCGGTACAGACGCCACCACCACAATCAGCACCACGAACGTCGCAGCCACAGGAGACATGGAGGAGAGGGGCACAAGGCCAGAGAGGACGCACACAGCTTCTACTGAACCAAATAATACAACATCTACAAGGCTAGGTGCTAACCATGGCCCATAAAGACAGACAGTAGTTCATACCACCCCCTGTTTCCTTTCCCTGCTTCTAACCATGCTGTGTTTAGCTTTACTCCTCCTGATGAATAGGGTTTTCTTACTCTGACATACAGTTTATCTCCATGACCCCTGTCCCCGAGTTTGGGTGTTTTGATGCTTCTTTTTTGTTTTCACCCTGCTTCCTTTAACCAAGGTCCATGCGAACACTAACTATAACACTAACTGTTGATAACGCCCCCCTTTCCCTAACATCTCAGTACAGTAAATCCTTCTCCTGTCTATGAACTAAACCCATCTCTCAGTCTGTTAGACTGGCAGCAGTGTGTGAGCGTGTGTGAGTGTATGCATGTCAGAGAGAAACTTAGAAAAGTGCTGTGTCACTTTTTTCTGTAAAGGTTTGCTTGTTCTACATGAAAAATGACTCACTCTAGTATTCTGTTTACAAAGCACAGATGTAATTGATGCAAGATAGCATACAGTAACCTTAACCCTGAGCTTTTTGTATGTGTACTGTAGATGTTACTTTTTCCATAGAGCACCCGAATAGCTGGTCTGTTTTATTCTATTGACATGCTTTTTTCTAATATTTGCTATGCTTTGGTGTTATGTTACTATTTATTATGAATCATTTGCTAGTGAGTATGCTTTTTTTTAACTTATACTTCAGAGAGCCGATGTAACATAATTTTCTATACCAGTATATAAGTCCAACACTCAACAATAAACTAAATTAATCATTTGATTGCCTCTAATCTCTGTATTGTAAATATTGTGGTGTTTGTTATTGGCTGATCCTTGATCAATAGCTGGACTTTGTCCAATCAAATAGACCCCCCCCCCTCCCCATCCCCCATAAACACTCACAGCTAATTAATATGTCCCATTGACATAAGGTAGTGTGGATGGGATACAATACTTTGTCAAGTTAACCACTTGATTGTTTCTGAATTGCTAAATACTTTCAATCTTTGCACGGCTATATTTACATGATGGGTAAAATGTCTCATTCTTTTGTCCTTTGGTCCCTTTGATATTTGATCGGTCATTCACTTTTTGGTGTTCTTATGACTTTTTGTCCTGCTGTTGTATTTCATTCTTAATAAAGTGAAAAAATGAACAACAATATTTCTGATTGTTTTTTTATATTATTCAAGACAGGAAACCATCAACTAATTTTCACTTTTTTTTATTAGCCACACTAGTGAAGATATCAATGTCAGTGTTGTGTCCACAGAATAAAATATCTCGACAACTATTAGATGGATTGCCATGAAATGTTTAAAGAGACATTGGTGTCCACAGGATGAAGCCGACTGACTTTGCTGATCCACTGACGTTTCCTCTAGCGCCACCACAAGGTTTACATTTGAGGCTTTGAGTGAAATGTCCCGACAACTATTGGATGTAAGCATGCTGATGTTAGCATTTAGCTCAAAGCACTGTTGTGCCTAAAGGTTTAAGTGGATCCATTTGCAGAAATGGAATATTCATAGGTATGTTTTCATTAGCGTATAATCACCTGAATATAGGAATTGATGTGTTTTTATCACCTTAGAATGAGAGATTTTATCTACTGGTCACCTTCCATGGAGTCCACCATGTTGAACCGGCATGTTTCTACAGTAGTTCACAACGCTGTTCTCATTCCCAGGTCATCAAATACAGAAACAAGTGGTGTTCAGTTAGTTGTAGTCTGAAACTTCACCTGTAGATGCCACTAAATCCTACACACTGGTCCTTTAAGTACATACTCCTAGAGCTGCAAGCATGGCTGTGGTTTTGTTTTACTGCAGTGTATACACGTCCCATAATCCATTAGTTTTTGACAAGTGCTGTTGTGCTTAAAGATTGTTTCTGTCATGTCACCTTGGTACCCCAGTAGATGAAAGTCAATCAAACCCCTTTATTCTGTTCTACTTTACTGAGCTTTGAAGCTCACTTTATTTTTCACTCTACACAGCGAGTGTAGTTTTATCCTGTTTGGTTCACAAAGCAATTTTCTCATCTCTGCTGTGTCTGTGAGGAGAATATTTTAAGAAAGAGAAGAATGGCCCACCAGGTGAGTAGGAAATATAAGAAAAGTTAATAAACCAACAGAGCCCCAAGGTAAAATTTTAATTCCGATACAAAAGTTAAAATAAAAATTAACATAAATATTTGACAGTTGACTTAAATTGAAATAATTAAGATTATTGCCATTATTTAAAAAAATAATGAGGTCATAAATCCGACCAGCCCTTCTAACTCCAGATAATGACATGCAAAAAGTCTGTAAAATGTCCTAATAATCTGAATTTGTTTTATATGTGATAGAAGTCTTAAACTTTAGTCTCTACATAGCCAGGCTTAAATTCTAGTGGGAAAAAGTTAGTCTTTTTTCTTAACTTTTTTAAAATTATATTTTTAACTAAAATTATAAAATGTGAACTGCACTTCAGGTCCACAAATGTCCCCCTAAACTAATACCAAGGACATGTTCTCTGCTTCCTCAATGTTAGCTACAGCCCTGTGAGAAAATTACACGCAAGACAAAAACAGTCCAGTCCAGGGCCATGGAGGCTGACCGATGTGTCATGTGATCATTTGTGCAGCTTGTGTTTGTGACAGCTCACCTATAAACCCAGGGTCCACCTCTTATCAGTTTGACAGCAGAGTTAACTGGGCCGGCGTTTCACCACATACAATGACATCACCAGCCGGAGACAATATTGACATCTGAAGATAGTCCTGTTAAACCAGCAAACTGCTCCGTTCATGGACAGATTTTACACTCAGTCGTGAGCTAAGACACCACAGATATTGTCAATACTAGAAAATAACTGATGGAAGAAAAGGAGTTCTTGTTGGAAATGTAGTTTAATCAAACACTGTTACACCTGGTAGCCTCAAATCATCTGTATCTCATTTTTATATAAAAACAAGCCCCATTCAGTGTTTTGTTTTTATTGTACAAAATAAAGTGGAACACAGACCTGGAAAATCACACTGAGATGCAGTCACGACTAGAGCTTCGAAACTATTTAAAGATGTCAACTTGGGTTTTAGGAAATTATGATGCACATACATTATTTTCTAATATTTTCTAGACTGGATTTATCAGAAATTGTTTGTTGCAGCCCCGGTGACAACACGTGGGATCACCAACTATGTTACACAATGTAAGTCACCAGGTGGACTTTTTCCTCCATCATTTTCTCCGCTTGAGTAACATCTGCTGTTATCTCCTTTATCAGAAACTCTTTCAGCCTTTCAAGCACTCAGTGGATGACCTGAACATATATTCACAGTTTTTAAACAATGAAAGTTATGAGGAGTTTTGGTGTGGATTTCAGCATAGGAAGATGAATAATGATAACTCTCCAGTAGGGTATTGCTGGCCTGTATGATCCAGGTTAATAGTCTTAGTTTGGGAAGATACCAACTGGGTATCTGCATGAGTCACCTGAAAGCTGTGCAAGCTGTTCACAGTCCTCACCTTGATCAACAGCCTTCTTATCAGGGTCCAGTAGTCCATGCGGGGAGTGCTGCTGCTTCTACCCGAGATGACTGATTTTGAACAGTTGACTCAGAAAGCAACGTTTTTAGATTTCCTCTGGGTTTGAAAAATTGTGTTTAATGCGGTTGTGCGCCAACAGGAGTCCCCAGAAAACATTAGCCCTGTCACAGCATGAAGTATGAAGTCCATGTCTGGTGTGTGTGGTCTAGTTTTTCTTCTTCTCGCTGTTGGTCTGTCCCTTGGGAACAGGTTTCATAAAATAAGCGGGGTTGGTGTGGCAGCGCAGGGCCAGCAGAATTGGCGCAGCAGCGAGCAGCACATTGAGGGTGATAACAGGCCACCACTTGTCTGCTGGGACTCGGTACGTGAAGGGAGTGCGGGAGTGCAGAGATGCTCCGATATGGCACCACTGGGTCTGAGAAAACAGCAGGACGGAGTCAACTTTATGCTGTATTTAGCTTTTTTAAGGGATATTAATGACAGCAAAGACATAACCATAGTTACCTGAGCCATGGCTCCAGCAAAGAAGATGGTCCAGTCCAGCATCCAGCTGCATCCCGGTGTTTTCAGAGCATAGATGAACACAGTCAGCATGGGCAGAGCATAGAACAAATAAACCAGCATCTAGAGTATTAATGCAGAAAAATATGTTATTTTCAAAAAATACAGTACATTTGGTTTAATACACTGTACACTGTATGATGCATTTCTCTCCAGACTGACCATAACCCTGGGAAAGCCAACTGGGTCTTTGAGGTAGGGCTCGTATTGGTAGATGTAGGTGAAACAGGAGTCTAGAGGACAGTCCAGCACCACCTGGAGCAGAGCAGGAGGAGTTACAGTATCCATGCTGTACATGTGTCCTCATGTCTTAGTGAACAGTAATGCTGGACAGATACAAAAGCTTCCATGTAGTTTTACTCACAAAGCCTCTGAAAACAGAGAAGGCCATTGCCACGAATAACAGAAGTGACAGAAGGAGGTCAACAGGTCGAGACAGCAGACTTTTCTTTTGTTCCGCTGAAATCTAGTAAACACAGGAAACATATCTGTAAGTGTACCGCACATGTAATCCCCTCAGTTATTATTATTTAAGCCTGACCAATATATCAGTAGGGCCAATGTGGCTAATTGGTATTAGTGTATATGTAGGCAGATTTGCAATAAATGTTTAATAGGCAACATTTTTTATGCATATTTGACCTTCCTTTTTCTTAAAATGTCCTGTGGCCCCTTTTTGCGCATCATCCCCTCTCTCCCTCTCCCCCCTTTACTGTCAGTCTTTACTGAAGAGCTAACACTTTCAATTACAAAAAAATATATTTTTAAAGTTTTATTTTATCTATAATTAATATTTGTGATAATCTAATGTCCAGTTAAGTTCACTGTTACAGAAATTCTGTTAACTTACATTACCTTTATACCATTAATGTCATCTAACATAAGAAAGCCTGTTGTTAAATATGTGTTCGACAAGACTTTATCACAGCTCTTATAAATCCTAATTTGAATGATCCTTGTCAAATGTGTTCATGTAGGAAACCAAATAATTAGCCAATATGTTGGGCTATAGATTATCATTATTCTCAGACACAGGTTAATATCAGTATCGGCCTCAAAAATTCACCATCACTCAGGTTGTGATCTTAAGTAAATTAGTACAAATCAGTTGTTCCTCTATGGCAGACGTTCCAAACCTGTGGGGTCACAAGATTATTACCAGTGCAAGTAAACTTATTTTCTTATTGTAACGATTAATACTGCACAGTTTCACCTCTTTGCTCTTCTGAAGAGTTCCACCACTGCTCTATATTACAGAATACTGTAAATATCTCAACTGCTGAAACTGACCTCGTCTGCTTTGATGATTGGCATCTCTCGGGGTCTGCTGAAGAGCAGGGACGCCGCCCAGAAAGGCACCAAAAAGAAGGGGGTATTCCTCCAAAAAGCTGGTCGAATGTTAGACCCGTATTTACCTGCATGAACAAGAACATCAACAATAGCAAACAGCCACAAACACCACTGATTATGATGTGACGAATGAAAGACTTTGTGTAAGCCGCGCTCACCAATGACCACCCCTGGGATGAGAACGATGTGGTGGGCGATTGAGGAGCCGGTCCACAGCAGCCCCAGACTACGATAGGACTTCCTGCGTGGACAGAAAATCAACAGGTTTCATTAAGAGGACTCACTGAACACAGTGGACAGGTTGTGATGCTACAACTTACCCTTTGAACATTCGGTGGATGATGATGAGGAAAAGGACAAAGTGAACAACGCCTTCCCAGTAAGACATCATCACGGCATAGGCGGTACTCAGATGAGGCTCACCCTGAAGAGATGGCATCATATGATGAAATTAAAACTTTGACATTTAAACTTCCAAAATACAAATCATAATTAGGAAGTAGTAGAGAGAGGGGGCAAGGTTAGCTGGGTATAGGTCCTCTTACCATCTTTAGGTAGAAGCCCATGAAGCCAGAGATGAACCCATCCTGTTCTAAAGCGTTAGTCAGGCCCACCATGCAGGTGAAGGAAAACTCTGCAAATACTGGACAGACACAAAGAGGCACAATGAAAAAACAACAACGCTTCACCCTCAGTTCCCTGATCGATGTTAAAGTGTGTGTTGTACCGTAGAACAAGGGATCCACTTTCGTCTTGTTTCGCACAGTGAGGAGGAGGAGAAGAAGAACTAATCCTAGGACGACCATTCCCATTCCCAGGATAGGAAGAGGTCTGAGGAGAGTCACAGTGATGATGGTGAATATATGAAGTCTACAACCCTTCAAGTATTTTAACTTGAGCTGAAGCAACTATTCTGATAATAAATTTAATTTAAAAAAAATTTTTCCGTTGTGAGGATTTGCTGCTTTTATGTGTCTTTTGGGACAATAAACTGAATATCTTTGGGTTTTGGATTGTTGGTCAGACAATGAACACCTTGGTCACCTTGTGATTTAGAAAAATAACGATAGGCATTTCTATTCAGACTTTTTACTAATCAAACAATTGATTCCTCGAGAAAATAATTTGCAGATTAATTGAATTGGAGATAATTATTTCCAGCCCTAATATGAACTAGTCTACAAACTTTCATCAGAAAAGGAGAAATGAAGGTGTTTCGGTTGTATAAAACCCAAAATGTTTTCACCGGATTCAAAAGGACCCATACTCCTCTTCTCAAGGCTGCCACTCTCCTTTAGACATCAAATTCAAAAGCTTTTCATTGACTTAAGGGTGTCCTTTGGAGAAATAAAAAATAACTCCGTTTTATTTAAGAGTAAGATGAAACTCTGTACGTTCTGCACACCTACCAGCCCACATGATCTTATGAGTTAAAGAAATTATAGTTAAAGTCATTTCTTTTCAAGGTGCAGCTCTATGGATCAATTGCACTTATCTTGGGTACACTGATCAACACTTAAAGCCTTCCACTCAAGGTAATCAATTAATTTACTACATTTACTCTGAAGAGATTACATTTTCCTTTAATTCACTTAATTTTATACCCAAGGCTTAAGTGAATCTTGTGTTCTGTGTAAGCTTTAAGAATCTCAACAGTAACTTTAAAGGAGGTTACCTCAGGTTAAACACACCCTCGCTAAACCCCCCTTTCCTTCAGGCTGTGGGCCGCTTCATAAGCCTATTAATATCAGCGGCTTTACTGTGCGATGCCTCCATACAGCAGGCCCAGATGAGAGTGAAATGACCAAAAGAGTGGATGCGCACACTTACTCCTGTAATGCTGGGATGTTGTTCATGGTGTACAAAACTCCAGGAGCCAAAAGAGAAAGGAGGAACACGGAGACTTCCACAGGCGGCCTCATTGTTGAAAACTTCTTGTTTGACCTCTTAAAAAAACCAACCCAAATGTGCAGAAAGAAATATTCCCTGCTAAACACTCGTGGTTGTGAAGATGTGCATGTTAGAAGCCAGTGTCCTGTCCACTGCCACCGAGGAAAGGAGATAATGAAAAGGAGTGTCAAGCCGTTGCCTTTTGATCTGTGATAAAAAACGAGGCAGCTGCTCCAATACGTCTGCTCAAAGTTCACCTGAGTGACAATTTAAAAAAGGGGGGGGGGGCGATGCAAAGTTCAGGTAATGGATTGCTGAACCGTGCGTAATGCGTAAAATATGCGTTTCTCTTTGGTAGTTATTTGTGGTTACAATTAATGACAGCTGATTACAGTTGAGCAATTCCACATGCCACTAGAAAACCATTTAAATTATCCAACCTATGGCCACTCACCATTCAGTGTATGCTTGTACAGACTGCCATCTGCTGGAGGAACTCTTCTAATGTTTTAGTTTATTTCCCTTGAAGCTTTTTCAAATCACTGAATTTAGTGGTTGTGCTTCTGCTTTCTAATTCCACCCAGTTTATGCATTCTAGGTACAGGAGATGAGTCTGCAGAGTCTGTCAGAAGAAAGAAATGAAAAAAATAAATCCCGGTCATGCTGCACATGTTAAAGAGCTGTCTAGGCTCCTGTGGCCCCTGGGGTTCGATTAAGGAGCCATCTGTCTTGTTTGGTGTAAGATTAAGAACTCCTCCGTCTGATGTCTCAAGTCTTGATTAGATTCTGGATTATTTCTGAGAGAGAACATAAAGTTCAGAACAAAGATTATGTTTTTTTCAGTCAGGACGGTTGTTTAAAACAAATCATTGTTACATTTCTTGAGCAGTTTCTTTACAAATAGTGGCTCATACTGCTCTTTTTTCTACATATTGTAAAGACTTAACTTGTGCATTACGCAACAGCATCCTATGGATGAACAATGTTTGTAAAGCAGGCCTACATCTAATGCAACTTTATCTTCTGTAACAAAGCGGCTGAAGAGGATTAATTCTGCTGCTGCCACAGAAACTTAGTGGTCAGTGGAAAGAGAGAGTAGAGAGGGGTGGGGAATCCATGGAGAGAGTAGAGGCAGACGGAGAGGTGATCCAGTGTACAGACAACCCTTCGCCCACACAGCAGACACACGTTTTTTTGAGGTGACACAGATTCTTAAAAGAGTCCACACAGTCTGCCACCATGCTGCACCCTTTAATCATCGGCATTATTACTGTAAACACCTCCCTAACCGTTGTCTATTGGACCTTCATCCTGAGCGATGCCTATCTCAAATGGATGATGGAGCCAGAAGACAAACCCAAGAAGGAGGTCACCCCAGCCTGAGGGAGTCACAGTCAATATGGACTGACCGAATGACTGGGTGTTATTATTTTGTTTTGCTTAGGACTAGTTTGCAAGAGCAGTTCAGCTTATAGTGCTTTCTGTGGAGTCTGATTTTGCATCTGATCTGCTTTCTGTTTCACCTGGAGAAGACTGGAAACCTCTTTTTCTGTTAATTTATATATTTTTTAGTGAACTGAATGGATCCTGCAAGTGAATGAGAAAGGAATCATTCTTACAGGTAATGTCTGGGATTTATCATGCACTGACTTGTACCTTTCATTATCTGTGATCTTCCAGTAATGTTTGTGGCTTTCAATGTGATGTCAGCTGTTCAAACTGCACCACACTTTGGTGTCAACAGGGGCTTCAGGTGATACTCCGTCTTCTGTTTTGCTCTCTGCTGACTCAGTTAAAAGGTGTTGCTGCTGAGAGTGGCTGGTGTCAGCCAAATCCTGTCAAGGATTACTAAAGAACACCTTCATACTGGCACAGTCTTACTCTCCTGACAGCCTCACCCTGAGACACATTCAGAGAACTCACACTACGCCTTCATTACATCTATTTTGTTTTTTCCGCTGCTCTTTACTTCATCCTTTTATATATTTTTGTGTGTATATATATATGCTCTTTTGAAAATATGTCACAGCATGTTTTCTACTTCGGTCTGCACCCGGTCTCTTGGTTCATTCTTTTTTCAAATGTTGCCATCACCATCATAGAATGGCATTTTCTTATTTCTCAGTTTATCAAACTTTCCAAGCCAAAAGAAGAAAATGAATCTAAAGCTTAGAAAAGAAATCTACATCCTGATGCTCCACTGAGAAGATCTTGAAGGATGGAAACGTATTTTTGGACCTTGTAGAGAAAAATAATTAATGGTGGGGTTTTTTTACGGTTTGTCATGACAGAGCTGCCACGGTAAGCTATTTGTTTTGACGACCTTAACTTTCTGCCATGTTTTTTGTGGTTGTTTCCAGAGCTGCCTGTGTGCGATAGACAACAATTTGGACGTCTTTTCATTCACAAGTCAAAGAAAAAAGGTGAGGAGTTGTTTCAAGTCTTGATTATAATGTATATAGTCATCTTTATGCCCTAAAGCTTCACTGTAACATCTTCAAACTTCCTTATTTCATCAGCATGTGTTCCTTTTCACATGGGTCTTTCATAAGTTACATTTGATGATGTACAGTTTTCCTACCCATGGAGATATTTATTGGTCACAAAACGCAGGTTGCATTTTAAAATATCACCATCTGATCTGTTATGAAGCAAGAAATGAGCCATGAAAATAAAGTGTCATATCAGTGAATTATGTGACAGATTATTTATAGAATATAAGAAGGGAACCTGCTATGCTTAAAATGAATTTAAAGGCTGTAACATCCATAAAGCAAGGCTGGTTTAAATCCAAGAGAAAGTGGGTTTACTGTAATATATGTATCATATATATATATTTATATATAAATATATGCATCGTGGTCATGAAGGACCATAAGCCTCTTTGGCGAATTACTGTCCACCTCTCCTCGCTCATATCTCTAATCCCTGCAGATGGAAAGCTGATATTGCTCTGTGACAGACTCAATCCTATTAACTCTATCTGTCCTATATTTACCTCTCCTGCGTCTCACACTCCTCGCTCCCCTGGATGTTTTGACCGAGGACCCCTCTCCAAAAGACAAGAAGGAGGAATGCTGGGATTTAAGTCTAGACGAAAGATTAAGAGAATTGGCACACTTATGCTATCACATTTTTCTTGTCTGGTGAACTACATTCTTAAAGCACTACTTTGTAACAGAGAGCTGTCCCTCATAAGAGACCATGTTCTCATTTTTGAACCATCTAGACATTTCCATCTCAATCATCAATCCTGACATTCTACCCAGCTTCAGAAAATATAACAATGTTTAAAATCTTCTAATGCTCAATTACTCTCCCTCCTCGTCCTGTTTCCAAAGTTTTCACAGTGCTATGAAGGAGCTTGGATCCACAAAAAGACAATAAATCTGTGATCACCCAAAAAAACAGCCCTGAAGATTCACAACATTCTTTGAACAGACTATCCTAAAATAATAAAGACAGTATCCACTTGTCAACTCTATCATGAACCAACAACAACTTGTGCCCCTGAACGCCTCAGGTGGAGCTACGCTCTTGAACCTCACACAACTGGTGTTTGAGCACCGACAGCTCCTCCAGCTGTCCAGGAGGAAAGAGGAAGAGGCCTATTTCGTGGACTATATACCGCCAGCAAGAGATGCTATAACTCTGCCACGCAATGTAGTCTATGTCCTGGTCGGGGTGGTGTTGGTTATAGTGGCCACTTACGCCATTGTGGGACATCTGATTAAAGATCTGATGCATGATCTGGCAGGTAACCCCCCTGGCTGGTGTCCCTCAAACTTTCCACCCTGGTGTCCACGTTTTCCATGTGTTGGAGTAATTTTTCCTCCTCGAGCTCTTGAGCTGAGGCTCCATCCGTAATTTATCTTTTCCTTTTCCCCCCTGTGGGTGACCATATTGCTTGATGATGATCCTCATTCACATTCATATTGTTGTTTGTGTGCAAAGGACAACCTTCCCAACAGATTCCTTGTCATTTCCATATTTCCACCATTAAGGTGAACGCCAAGAACCGATTAAATAAAACACTTGTTTAAGTTAATGACTGCTGTTAAAGTAACATCTTTGGCAATTTTCCTATTGCACTTACACACATTTTAGAGCCCAAGATATCTAGACTTTTAGTCCAAAAAACACTTTTCACATGATGTAACTCAATTCTTAATTTGACTTACCCGGCCTGAAAAATGTAAATGAAATGAAAAACTTCACGCCCCTGTTTGTAATGCAGGCTCGGTTAAAAATCTCCAAACCAAAGCTGAGATAACAAGGAATCAAGGAAATGTATTTATCATTGTGTTGTATACACAAGATTGTAAAATTCATCGAAAAAAATAGAATAATTCAATATATACAGTTATTTATATACATACACATATACACCCAAGAAATAATTTTACAGTGCATCTTTTGAATTTGTATCTGGGGGAAACAGCAGCAACAAAATAGTGATGATAATGTGGTTTCATGTTCACATAAAAAGAAACAGTGTCCATCCGCTTTAACTGCGTTTGAGCCCCACCATGACATGTAAACTGAACTGAGATTTTTGTTCTTCTCCTCACAGACTGGATTCTTGGCCCCAAACCAGTAGAGGATGATTCAGAGGAAGGGAGAGCAGAAATAGAAAAAGAGCGGCAACTGAGCGTTTCCAGTAAGTTGATGGAGAAAGACAGGCTGGAGATGGAGAAGGAAAGGGACGGGCTGTTGCCTGGTTTCCACCGGGGAGACGCAGGCTGCCACCGTCCATCCTCCCCTCCTCCTCTGCGAAGCACCATCACTTTGTCATACCCTGGAGAAAAAAGGACATCTACTCATAGCGTGACCTTCACCTGCCCCATGACCCCTTATGTCACTTCCCTTTGACTTTTGCAACATCACTTTGTCATAGCAGTGGTTCAGTTCAGTTTTTTTCACATATCTCATTTCAGTGCAGTGATCAGTGTTGTCTCTTTGCTATAGGGATGCTGTAGTAGCCTAGGCATTTTTGTTTTATATAAAACACATCTATAGTTTGTTCTCATTTTGCTGAGAAACAAATGCTTATTTTGATTACTTAATGTGTGTAAACCTGGTCCATATTGTCATTCATTCAAAATACACTACCGTTTTCTGCCCAAATTCCTCATGCTAAGAAATGTAAATTATGTACAATGTAAACTTCAAAGATGTTGTTGTGAGTTGAAAAAAAAGACATTTTATTTTAATAACTGAAATTTAAATCCCAAAATGTTTACATCTTGAAAGCTCTTTTACAATGAAAAT